ATGTGGGTTTATGAAATTATTCTGGAACTAAATATGTGTATTGTAGATGGATGATGATGGTGACTTTGTTGATGAAGAAACTCTTGTTAATATGTGTCAATGGGCTGCACTATTAGTTTTCATGTTAGTAATGACATTCATGAAGAGAATGCAAGCTAGACATAAATCAATTCGTAGTGGTCCAAGTAAGGTAAAAGAAAGCAAGATAAAAAATAGAATTGAACACATAAAGCGTATATATCACTGCTAAAAAATAAGGTATCCTAGACGGAAAATTCCGTCTAGGATACTCAAAATTCCGTCTAGAATAGATATTCTAGACGGAATTCCGTCTAGAATACCCGTCTAGAAAGTTTCCGTCTAGAATGAATTATTCTAGACGGAAATTCCGTCTAGAATACATTCTAGACGGAATATTCTAGACGGAATTCAAAACCGTCTAGAATACATCCTAGACGGATTATTCTAGACGGAAATTGGTTTTTTATTTTTTTTAATTTTAAAAAAGGTATCCTGGACGGAATTTGAGCATCCTAGACGGAATTTCCGTCTAGGATACTTGCTACAGTGTTGTTCTTATGCAGGTTAAAACACCTACCCTTTTCCTCCTGGGTGCACAAGATCTTCGAGTTCCAGTTTCTAATGGTTTACAGGTAAGTAACTTACATGGATGGTAAATTCTTTATAATCATAAGTGTTTAAGTAAATCATCTGATGAATTTGATTTTAGAAAATTTATCATTTGGTCTTAGACTCTTAGGTATACCTCTTAGCCATGATGCTCTAGATACGTTACTAATTTAACATAGATAGTCCATTGGAGAATGCTACACAATTAGTTTAGCCTACTCTAAAAACTTGGATTAAAAGGTTTCTTTTACTTTTATTAGTGTTCATATTGTTTTTTTTCACAATTGTATCATATTTTGGCTTTGCTGCAAATTTAATTAATTTGAAGGATCATACTTTCCACCTGCAAGAGTAATTTGGTTAAATTTACATGCATGAATCTTGTAAAGCCATTTATCCCTTTACACATGCTTGTAAACATTATTTGCATTCACTTGCTTTTTGAAAGAGTTGAAATTGGCAATTTTGATACACCCCTAATCTGAAGATATTTTGGAGTTAATCCTAAAATTTCGTTAAATATTAATCATTCTTTAATTCGAAAGGTTTCCAAGGTTGGACTTACCATCATAGAAATTTCTATGTACTGATTTATTCTCATGAATATATCTATTAACTTTGTTTATTTCAAATGTTCCTAGTATGCAAGGGCCCTGAGAGAAAAAGGGGTCGAGCTCAAAGTGATTGTGTTTCCTGATGATACCCATGGAATTGAAAGGTAAATTTATTTCTTTTTGGTTCTTGAAAATTATATGTAGAAGGCTCTCAGCATGAACTTTTTTGTTTCTTTCAGGCCACAATCTGATTTTGAAAGTTTTCTCAACATTGGTGTCTGGTTTAAGAAGTACTGCAAATAAATCACCAGAATCTGTAATTATCTCAATCCAACAGTATATTGGCATTTTGCCAGTCACATTGGAGAACTTAGAATTTATCATACTGTTTCTCTCTGTATGTCATCGTTGATGACATTTGTGATACAATTGATGATGATAAAGTCAAACCATGATTCTGGATATTGTCTGCTTTCAAAATAATTCTTATCTGTATAGAAACACATTTTGTCTACCAGTGGCAAGTATCTTGGTTCTCATTTTGCCTGGATTAAGGGGCTGTTTGGTTGGCAAAAAACAACCCCTTGCAACCTCTTTCCATACTCTGTGATTGTCAGTTATGGAGAAAAAAGTTCAAAAAAAAAAGGGTTTGAAAACTCCTCCACATAGGGGAGGGTAGAGGAGAGGAGTGGTTCCCATTTCCAAATCTTATGCCTCTGAAATGGGCTGGAAACGTTTTTTTCTTCCCATAAAATTTGGGAGCTTGTACGATCCTCACTGCTGGCCTCTTTGAGGGATAGCCCTACTCTTACCGTCGCTCCCACTTCCATCTCCTCTCTCGCGCTTTAATTTTCACCTATTCTCCATTGCACTATCATCCCTCTCTAGTGGCTGCAATTTTTTGAGATTAGATGAATGGATCTTGAAAGTTCAGGGCTATTTGATGCTTGAGGGAAAATCCTACTCTCACTGCTTGTTCTCACTTCCATCGCCCTCTTTGATGACTGCTTTATTGAGATCAAATTGCTGGATCTTGAAATTTTAGGGCTACTTGTTGCGAGTTTTAATTTAGAGCTTTTTGAAATTATTGCTGGATCTTGAATAAAGGTTTGGCCTTTCTTGGAGAATCTCTGACCTTCTTGCTTGATATCAACAAATTTGGCAATTTAACGTATACTCTCTCATATTTCTAAATTTTTTTAGATTTACTATACTTCTGGTCAAATTTGGCAAACGTAATGGTTGCATGCTAATTTTATCAAATTGAAGTATGATGGTGGTGTATATTTCCTGTAATTTCTGCGATTTTAATTATTTTCTGCTCCTAATTAGCCATATAACTGAATTTGATTGAAAAAAGGCCAAGTTTCAGCCTTTTACTTAATTTTCATTTATCAATTTGTTCACATATCTTGAGTTGTTTGGTCAATATTAGTTTGGGTATGTCTACATGTTTGGTCATAACAAGGAGTTCTTGCTTATCAATCATAACAATGTGTTCTTGCTTAGCAGCCATAACAGATTCTATAAAGTTTGATGTATTTGATTATAACAATGGCCATTTATTTAAGTTTGCATTCGTACCTTTTGGATGGCAAAGATCGTTGATGGAAATGGATTAATTTGGTAATATGTTTGGAATTTGAGAGCTCAATGACAATGTGTTCTTGCTCTTGACTATGATGATTTTAGTTCTGTATATATTGTTACTCATGAATGGTCCTGTGAAAATACTTGATTTTTTTCTCTACATTCATGAATGGTCAGTATGGAATCTGTTTATGAACCATTGTCTCGAGTCAGAATTAGAAATGACAAGAATAGGAACTCAGGTGTCTGCATGCATGTAGATAGTCTTTGACTATTTATCATACTTGCTTACATGATGATATTGACCAAAAATATTAGAAGCTCGTCTCAAGTATATCAATTTTAATGTTTATCTCTACTTTTTATTAGTACTTGTTGGTGTATATTTGACTATAAATTTTCTTTATGAAATTATTCTGGAACTAAATATGTGTATTGTAGATGGATGATGATGGTGACTTTGTTGATGAAGAAACTCTTGTTAATATGTGTCAATGGGCTGCACTATTAGTTTTCATGTTAGTAATGACATTCATGAAGAGAATGCAAGCTAGACATAAATATGTGGGTTTATGAAATTATTCTGGAACTAAATATGTGTATTGTAGATGGATGATGATGGTGACTTTGTTGATGAAGAAACTCTTGTTAATATGTGTCAATGGGCTGCACTATTAGTTTTCATGTTAGTAATGACATTCATGAAGAGAATGCAAGCTAGACATAAATCAATTCGTAGTGGTCCAAGTAAGGTAAAAGAAAGCAAGATAAAAAATAGAATTGAACACATAAAGCGTATATATCACTGCTAAAAAATAAGGTATCCTAGACGGAAAATTCCGTCTAGGATACTCAAAATTCCGTCTAGAATAGATATTCTAGACGGAATTCCGTCTAGAATACCCGTCTAGAAAGTTTCCGTCTAGAATGAATTATTCTAGACGGAAATTCCGTCTAGAATACATTCTAGACGGAATATTCTAGACGGAATTCAAAACCGTCTAGAATACATCCTAGACGGATTATTCTAGACGGAAATTGGTTTTTTATTTTTTTTAATTTTAAAAAAGGTATCCTGGACGGAATTTGAGCATCCTAGACGGAATTTCCGTCTAGGATACTTGCTACAGTGTTTTTTTTTTTTTGCAGAATCTACTTTGGATGCTTATACACAATATTGAACAACAAAACATTATATTCATATTCAACACAATCTAATTATCAGTTTTTTTTTTTTTTTTTTTTTTTTTTGCAGAATCTATTTTGAGTGCATGTACACAATATTGAACAAAAAAAATTATATTCATATCCAACACAATCTAATTATATTCCAATATCAAATCCAATTCTATTCAAATAAAACATTCACCAAAATAGTAAAGAGATACATAAATTTTTTACAAACTTTTACATAAATTAATGCATCTGAAGTCAACATATGATACAAGGTTATTTGAACATGACTGACATGTTACATTGCATCTTAAGCTCCAGATATCGAGGCCCTTCTCCTCCAAAACTGATCAAGAAGCAAATTTGCTGACCGATTGGAAGCTTTGCGCAAATATGTATAAACAGAACAAGCACAATCCTGCTCAAGATACTCCCCAAATTAGAATAAAAAGGTGGACGTACCATACAAATACCAACTACTAACTTCTTGAGTTGAGGAACTGTAACATTTAGAGCCATATGATTCAGGAAAGATAAACAACATGTTAGCACTAATGTAAAAAAGATTAAGAGTAAGATTGAATTTGTGTCCAATGTAAATAAACTAAGGAAAGGAATACCTGCAATGACTTAGATAAAATAAGCATTTGGAAAAGCAAATAGCAATGATGGGTGAAGTTGTTAGGTCTAAGAGGTAGTGCAAGATGCCTGAACATAGCAGTAGATTCTTAAACATGAAAAGTGTCCAGGATAAGGTTGAGTAACTAATTCTAAATATCACTGAGAACTACATATTATGGAGCAATTATCATTACATCAACAATATACTAGTGTAACATACTCAAAATACAACAGAATAAATTGGAATATTTTGCTTACCCAACATTCCCCAAGATATTTCCAGAGCAGCAAACTCAGTAGGCCTTCAAGAAAAACTAAAACGAAGAAAGAAGTAAGCAGGCCGCTAAGCATCACAACACAGAATTTTCCTGCACACAATGGGACTTAAGTAATAAAATTCACAACAATATGCATACAGATATGCAAATATTGCAAACTAAGAGCTATAAAGGATGTAATAGCCTCTGACAGTTGTCCATAACAATATGCTTATTACAGACATGTAAATATCACAAACATTTTCCAAGTAGCAAGTAAGCATTTTCCAAGTAGCAATTTAATCAGCAGACACAAGAAACATCATCAAGGTCATGGCATCATTCTAATGATAAATAAAAAAAGCACTTAACCCTTCTACAAGACTAATAACTCAGTGATTACTCACTTAAATGATTTAATCTTCATCTTCATTCAAACCCCCTCGGAAATCAACCAACGGATGCATCATTAGACAGTACTATAACAATTATGTTCTCAAGATTCAAGACTTCATCTTTCCTTTTTGTTCATTCAACAAAGAAAATGGCACAAAGTAACAAAAGAAAAATCGAATTTGACCTTAAACCCTACAACAACAAAATTTGCAGGAATCTAAAGAAAGAAATTTCTAATCTTAAAAAAACGTGATAAAGCATTGACCTGTGAAATCCCAGCCTTTTAAGAACTGGGAGAGTGATCTTGGACTTATCCATCTCCAGAATTGACAATGGGACATTGAAATCTCAAGATATCATGTCGTTTCGGCTGATTCAACCAGAAAAAAAAAGAAAAGAAAAGAAAAAACAAATCAATTTGACATCAAACCCTAAATCCAAAAAATTGCAGGAAATTGAAAGATAAATGGTTAGTATTTCAAAAAAGTAGAAGAAATTCACCTCAAAAATCAAATTTTCTTAGCAGCAGCGACCTCCTTAGTACAAAACAAACAAACAAATAAATAAATAAAGTAGGATCCATCAACACATTTGATTAAAGAAGATGTACAATTAATTAGGTAGATTCCACCAAGATTTTATACTTTTCTAGAGTCCATCATTCATTTCCTATCCAAACCTATTGGCCTAGAACCATTTTGATACACTCCTAGGCCTTTAATTTTTAGTTTTCACTCATTTGTCCCTTTCTGGAATCATGACACTCAATTAACATGGCAAATAGGTTTTTGCGGTGTTAACTCGATTAGTGACTGAGAGTGAAGACGCACATGCATATATCCACACATACACATGCATCTATCCATGCGCACACATACAAATACAAACTATTCATAAGGTCAAAGTGACATGAACATGTAACCACCCTATCACAAGCAATAATACCACCAGGCTAATCAATTTGTATCAGTCATGGAAAGTTACTTCTCCTTCAGCATGTCTTTCATTCATTCACAACTTGCTAGAGTCGTGATTCAACCTGACTTACATTTCTTAAAATTTTGGTCAAAGTATATCTCTTTTTATTAAATTACACTAATTTCCAATCAAACTGCTCACATGCGGTCAAAGCATATACTTAATAATACAAGTTCATTCTAAATTAGCAAAATTAAACATAGATTAGAAGAGTAAAAGTAACCGGATGACGGGGATCACAAAACTAGGGTTTGAGAAAATTAGGGTTTGAGAAACTGTCAATATCTAATCGGGGATCAAAAAACTTCAAATCAATTGCTGAAATCAAGCTAGATCGAAAGCAAACCTCAAAGAGTTGGAGTTTTTCGACTGAAGCCCTTTTCCTGTTTAAGGGGGGAGGCGACGACGGGACGGCGAGGTCGGAGGAGAGGGACGGCGACGACGTGACGGCGAGGTCGAAGGAGAGGGACGGCGACGACGGGACGGCGAGGTCGAAGGAGAGGGACAGCGACGATGTGACGGCGAGGTCGAAGGAGAGGGACGGTGACGACGGGACGGCGAGGTCGAAGGAGAGGGACATCGACGACGTGACGGCGAGGTCGAAGTAGAGGGACGGCGACGACGGGACGGCGATCTCGAATGAGAGAGAGAGAGAGAGGCGAGCACGATGAGAATTTGGGGATTTAGGGTTTATAGGGCCAGATCTCGAATGAGAGAGAGAGAGAGGGGCCAGCACAATATATACTATCGGATCAAGGGAATTTTTTAATAAAAACTGAAACCAACATTTAGCAGGAAATTCAAATTTCGTCTGCAATACTATTCTAGACGGAAAATTCCGTCTAGAATATTATATTGCAGACGGAAAATCCTTGACGGAATTTTTCCGTCTAGAATAATGTATTCTAGACGGAAAAAATTCCGTCTAGGATATTCCGTCTAGAATACTTGTTATTCTACTAGTGTATAATGGTTTTAGTGATAGTTATGCAAACTACATTAGAATTCGGAATGGTGATTTTGTGAAATTAGCAAGTATCATGAGGAAAATGGTCTACTAAGAGACACAAACATGTAGAAGAACAATTTATCATGACATTGAGCATATTGAGTCATAAATCTAAAACCGCATTATGAGATCTCGTTTTATTAGATTAGGGAAGACAGTCAGTAGATATTTCAACAATGTATTAGAAGTGTAATTATTTACCTACATGGACAATACATGAGACAAGCCCCCAGTGACGTTTCACAAGAGATCATTAACAACCTGCTATACTATCCTTATTTCAAAGTATATCTACACTTTAAGTACATTTGTATGTGTATTCAATGAAAACATATGTTAACTTAGTAATTTTGTATACATATTATAGGATTGCAGTGGTATGATAGATGAGACTCATGTTAATGTAATGTTATCGATAATCTTGTTGCTAGATTTCAAGGCCACAAAGGTGTTATAAAAAATGTACTTGTAGTTTGTGCCCCAAATAAGTTGTTCACATATGTGTCAGTAGGTTAGGAGGAGTCGGCAAATGATTCTAGGATTCTTCAAGATGTATTATCCAGACCATAACCACATGGATTAAGAGTCTATGGCGGTAATTATTTGAAAATTTAACCTTATATAATTTTCAGTATAATATGCAAACTTGACTTATTTACAAATTTTCTTGAAAAAATTATAGGCTATTACTATTTATGTGATGTTGGATACCCCATCATGCTAGGTTTTATCTACCCCTATCGAGGTGCTTAATATCATTTGAAAGAACATACTGGTAAAAGACCTAATAATATAAGGGACTTGTTCAATCAAAGATAGTCTTCTTTAAGGTCTAAGATTGAATCTATTTTTGGCACATTGAAGAATCAATTCAAGATTATGTGTGCTAAACCACATTATTCATTCCCTAAACAAGTAGATATTGTATTAACTTGCACAGTAGTTCATAATTTTATTGCAACTATTGATCCAAATAATGCACTACTCAACGAGTCCGATTTGAAGATATTGATGATGAGATGACAAATGAATCTATCAACAATATAGTTGATTTTACACAAACTTAAACTCAAAGAGAACAAACACAATCAAGAAATGAGTAGATGACTCTTAGCGATGATATTGCTCGGGCGATGTGGGTTAACTACTATGAAAAATATAATGATGGTGTAACCACTGAGGCTTAACTTTCATATTCGTCGGTGTTTTTTTATTCATTCATGTACTCTTAAGTCCAAACTCTATGTTTTGCTTTTTCCACTTGTTATGCTTTTCATGAACATTAATTTAGGGCATCATAACATTAATTATGTTATATATTTGTATTTTTAGTAATGTACTCATTTTTTGTTTGTCATATTAATTACATTGTATCTAACTCTCTCTACTAAATTAGTAATGGCTGATAACATATCCTTAAGTGGGAGAGATAAAAATAAAGGCAAGGGTTCAGTTCCATCTCGACATGCTCAGGCTAAGCCTCTAACTAGTAGTAGGTTTATCCCATTTCAGGTTTCCTACCTTGGATAGTCACCTCATGTATTTCCCAACATGTCATGTTATGATGCGAATTACTTCCAAATACACCACTAACCAGGGCTATTATGAACATGCTAAGTTCTCCTACTCTGCATCAACAATTTCAAAGTCTAATATTTGTGGATTGCAACTATCTCCCACTAGTGATGATAGCTCAACTCTTGAATTAGGTTGCGAAAGGGTGCTAATTGAAGAAGGGTAGAAACCTCACCAAATCCAAAGAATACGAGAAAAAACTTCAACAAAGAAAAAGAACATTGAGATTCCCAAGGGAACAAACATTATTTTGGGATTCCGTTATGATGATGAGCTCATTTCATTTCTTATGAATTTGGAAAGAAATGGTTACAAACCCGAAAATAGCTTTAAGAGAACTGCTTGTAGCATGGTTTCCACACATATCAACAACATGTTTTAACACTATATTTAAGTGGGAGAACATCATGCATCGCATCAAAACCTTGTGTACTAGATTTTGTGATATGAAAATCTATCGTAATCTTAGTGGTGCCGGATGGGATGATAGCATCAAGACTATCATCATGGGTGTTGAATGTTTGGATAGGTGGACTGAGGTAAATAATCTAAACTTATAAATATAAGTTAAACTTATAAATATAAGTTATCTCATTTTCATTGTATTAATACACATACTTTTTTAGGACAAGAGAGTTACTAATTCTAAGCTTAAAGAGTATGTTTAAGCCCTTGCTGCATTATGACGATCTTGCAATCATCATCGAGGATGATCGAGCTAGAGGAGACTTTGCTAATGATACTTTCAAAAAGTTCAAACGTAGCGAGACCATTAGTCTTGGAGATGATTATGATGATTCTCCTTTGCCTGCCAATCAATCCCCTCAATTGCACTTTCTAGATGATGAGGACACTCTTATGTAGATGGTCAAAATTTATTTTCATTTAGGACGATGATCAGCTTAGATCCAAGAAGTGAACGCCTGATGATTAAATCAAACCTCGCCAAGCAGCCCACATCGACTTGACCTGATTAAGTCAAAACACTAGTCGACTCCCACAACACGCCCCGAGCCAAGTCAAAAGGCGTCATTACTCGGCTAAGCCTAGAGTTGAATTCTGTGTCAAATTCGAACTCATAGGCGAAGCTTACCAACTAATGAACTTCGCCCACATCAAGTGGTCCAAATCATCCACTTGTGAAGAAGGTGTGCCCATGTTCGCAACGACCTTTGTCCACGTCTTCAGTAAACCTCGCCAAGTCCGCAAAGTTCACCCAAATAGCCATTTCAGAGTTATTTTTAGGGGATAACCGTGCCCAACTAACTTCTGCTTTAATGGCCACTTTACCAGCCTGGATAACTCTAACTCCTTCCTGGTCTTTGCTAAGGAAGAGACGTACTTCTCGTCGAAAAAGTAAATGAAGTCCTCCCAAGTAAGTGTCATTCGCTACTTTGAGGTGAATTTAAGCCTGCACAATCCCCCAACATCACCCTTGGGGATAAAGGCTGCTAACCTCTGCTTCTGGATGGAGTCGACATTAAGTAAATACAGAATGTTTCCCATATCGTCTTTCCACTTGTGGGCTACAAGTGAATCTGATGATCCCCTGAAACTCTGGTGTCCTCATCTTCTGGTATCTCTCCACCAAATAGAGCTAAGCCTCCTGCTCCATGGCCCTACCGATAGCTGGGTGTGGTGTAACTCCTGATAGAACCTCTGGGGATTCTTCTGCAATAGGTATAACGGGTACGACTGGTGGTGAAACTACATGTGGTGGTGTTACTGGTGGAACCTAGTTCGCTATTTGTTCCTAGAGCGCTGCTAATCTCGCTACAATCGGTGCCATTAGGTCGATCAAGTACTATGGAGCCTGCTGGGGCTCAGGTGGAGCCTGCTGGGGCTCAGGTGGAGCCTGCTGCGGCTCGA